ACCTCCCTGTCCCTGCTGGCCACCCCTCTGCTGATGGAGCCCAGGATCCCATTTGCTTTCTGAGCTGCAGAAGCACTGCTGGCTCATGTTCAGTTTTTCATCCACCAGCACCCCCAGGTTCTTTTCTGCAGGGCTAATAAAACCTCTCTCTGTACTCTGATTTCTCTTCAAATCCTATAAAACCAAGGTCTTCTTTGGAGAACTCTCTTTTCTTAGTGGTTGTATCACGTACTGCTTATAAATGCATTCTTTCTGAGCTTTGGAGTAATTGTAGAAGTGTATTTTTAATTCTCTGTGTTTGACTGACAGTGTTCTCGAGACCCTCTCAAATACAGTCCATAATCCACATCTGTGGAGTAGTGAAGGCAGCTGTTAGGAGAATGCAGAGGGCATTTCCCTTCTGATGGAGTAGCACTTATATGCATTTATATGTTTATATAAATAAGGATAGTACAGAAAAAAAGTGGTGCAAACTAGCTTTACAATGTATGCTTGTTCTGCTCTGGAACAGCTTGCCCAAGGAGGCTGTGGATGCCCCATCCATCCCTGCAGGCATTCAAGGCCAGGCTGGATGTGGCTCTGGGCAGCCTGGGCTGCTGGTTGGCGACCTGCACACAGCAGGGCTTGGAGCTGGATGAGCATTGAGCTCCTTTGCAACCCAGGCCATTCTATCATTCTATGACTTCTTGTACTGCAGCTCCACAAACTGTTTGAGAACAATATGCACGTAAGTTCCAATCCTGATTTTTGAGTACTAAATGCAAACCTTCCACTGTCTTTTGCAGAACCAAAAAACAAAAGAGCAGATTGAAAACTTGCTGCAGAATGGAAAGCATAAGGAGCTGCGGGATCGCCTCTGCTGCAGGCTGACCTTTGGGACTGCTGGGCTTCGCTCTGCCATGGGAGCAGGCTTCTGCTACATCAACGACCTCACCGTCATCCAGTCAACACAGGTGAGCTGCAGAACAGAGAACTGAAGGGGTTCACAGTAAACTTTTGGGTCATAACTGTTCTGCTGGAAGATAAGCGGAAGGTGAAACGGAGCCGTTCAGCATCAAAAGTTTTAGGATTGGAGGCAAAGGAAGTAGCTTGAACAGGTTTAATCATGTCACCACAGAATCATAGAATGGCTTGGAATGCAAGAGACCTCAAGGATCACGAAGCTCCAACCCCCCACCAATGCAGGGCCACCAACCTCCCCATCTCACAGCAGCCCAGGCTGCCCAGGGCCCCATCCAGCCTGGCCTTGAACACCTCCAGGGATGGACGGGGCATCACAGCCTCTCTGGGCAGCTGTTACAGCAAATGGGCATCCTAGCATAGAATCACTTCAGTTGGAACCTAACCTAAATCTATTACACTGCTCTGAAGCTGCAAAGCATTGGCTTCAGTGAGGACTGTTAGTATTTTGCAAAAAGACCACCACCAAAACCAGTAAAACCAGAAGAAAACAAACCCCCAAAACAAAACCCCTCCCAGCCCCATAAGCCTTTTCTTTTTAGCCAATGTTGTCAACGAGGACACAAAACAAATAGCCAGCTTTATTAGGAGAACAAGCAGGGAGTAAGATGAAAAAGCAAATATAGACTGACTGCGAAGAACATCTGTTGTAAACTGCTTAACTTCTGGAATGGCCTTCCAGTAACTGCAGTTTGATGGCATTGTTTGCAATGGATTTGGATAGTGTGGTTAAGTGCCTCTGCATTACTGTAACCTTGTCTTTAACTCTTGTTTTCAAACAGAGAAGTCAGTAAGTAGTTGGAGTGCACTGAACCTCAGTCTGCAAACCTGGTGTGACTTCCTGCGTCAAAGAAGCTGATGCTTCATGGCTTATCTGTGATTTAAATATTTATACTTGGGTTACAGATGAAATCATAGAATAATTTGATAAGAAACCACTGTAAACAGATGTTGATCTTCAAAGCTTGGAGTCGAGTGTTTTGTGATGGACTTCTTGATATGACTATTGGAGAGATCTTGGAACTCGACTGCCATTTCGGTAGTTGTGCACTGGGTTTGAGGAATGCACTGCTGCTAGAAAGGGTCTTATGGGATGGGATAAAGTTTTGGACACACAGGCTTTAGTCTTAATTTCCTTCTGTCATAGTGATGAGGCTCCATGTGTGTTAGAAGGGCACAGGAGAATTGAGAAGCTGTAGGGTCACGGAGGTGGTGAACACTGGTGGCAGTGGCTCCTCGCTGTTAACACATCTTTCCCTTGAACCAGTTTTGGCTATTAGGACTAGCTCTTTAAGCTGACTGACAACCAAGACTAGTTGTTTAAGCCAGCAGCAAGCCCTCTGGACTCGTTCCTTCAGTGCCTTGCACCCTTCTTTTTTTCTCTGTGTTGATTTTGAACGCCAGAAAAGGAGTGGAAAATGATGAGATTTCTCCAGTTCTCCCCCCCCCCCCCTTTTAAGCAATGTTTGAACGTCCAAATAAATCAACATCTTGATTAACATAGGGCTTTCTCATCTCTGCTGTTCTTTACAACAGTGTTTTGCTCATAGCAGGTGATAACATTCTTTCTCCAAGAGTTTGGTCCCTTGTTGAATTCTTCTTTCTCCACCTTTTAAGTAAACACCTTGGGAAGGAACAGCTGATGTTGATTTAGTTATTGATCAGAAGTGCTCCATGCTCCTTCCCCATATTGCTGTCCCACAGTGGCTTTGTTCCAAAGCTTACTCACTGTACAGCACTGAGGCTCATCTCAGTTGATGTGTTGCTCTGTCACTTTTTTCCTTCAAACAGGTTGATTAAATGCTTAATCTTCGTTACTAAACTCCATAAGAAGTTAATTAAGAATACATTTCAAGTAGATCTGTCATTGCCCTCATTGTGAGTGTGTCTAACAGGAGGCTGAGTAGTGATTTATCCAGGGTTGTGATCATGTTATCATTCCTGACGTCGATAGTCACCACCATAAAGCACGTGCAATGTTAATGTTTAATGTTAAGCACAAAGCAGTTGGATTCCTATGGATTCCTAGTATCTAAAATACAGCTTTGTGCCAACCCAGGGGAGGTGGTAGGAAGCAAGGAAACGGAACTGTTAAATCCTGAAAACAAATAGCATGAGTCAGCAAATGGAGGCTCCGTATTTCCCTTCCTTCTGAACATACAAATGGGTTTGGACTGTGTGTGTTAAACACACTTAATGTCCTTATTCTTGAGGATTGAAAACAAAGGGATCTATTTGCCACCATTTATTATTCTCAGAATATCAGCAGCAAGTTCTCATTAGGATAAACCTGTTGAAACTTGTCTGCTCTGTCAGCTGTTTTGTTGGTAAACGGCACTTCAGCCATAACATAAAGGGTGTTTTATTACATGATTTATGAAGGGTTACTGAAGTCTTTCACTGTGACACTCAGAACTTAAACGCTTTTATATAGCTCTGTCTGTGCAGGTTAATGCTCTGAAATCAGACCCTCACAGATAGGGCTGAAATAATTTGTTCTCTGTTGGCTCAGTGCAAAGAGTTATGAAGGCTTGGAGCAGGCAGGACTTTGTTAAAGCTTCTGACACTGCTGTTGGCTGACTTGTACAGCCCAAGCTTCTGAGGTGAAACCAAATTCCAAGAGTTCTTTGTACTTTCCAAAAAGAAACAGCATGTGGAGCTCACCAGAGTTTGAAGCCTGACCTTCTATCTGAGCGTTTGGCCTTTTTGATTTCATCTTAGGTCTAACAAAGTTTGCTTTAGGTTTCTAGCATCTAAACTGAGCATCTTAGAGTGATGCTTCCTTCAGCTCTGGCATCAGCAAGTCTGCAGATGACACTGAGTGGAGCGGTGCAGCCGATACAACAAAAGCTGTGGAGACCCCATTGCTGGAGGAGCTCAAGAGCAGGTTGGATGGGGCCCTGGACAACCTGATCCGATGCCTGATTTAATGGCTGGCAATCCTGCTCGCAGCAGAGTGTTGAAATTAGATGATCTTTGTGATCCCTTCCAACCCAAGCCAAGCCACTCTGTGGTTCTTTAGGATCAGAGCCAACATCTTGCTAGTAGAGAGGAATGAAGAGCTGTCACCCCACCCTTCAGCCAATGCAGCCAATGCTCGCACTTTGAGCTCCTGAGGTCTGCATGCTGCCTTTGTTTGCTGAGACTCACGGAAGCATGTCTGGGCTTGGCTCAGCTGGCCAACTGATAAGCACTCTTGGCAGAAAGCAGAAAGCATGGCTTTGGTCAGCAGGGAGGCTGTTTGCAAGTTCAGTTTCGTGGGCCTTCCATGCTTCTGAAAGGGAGAAAGTGGCTGGGTTTCATTTGCTCTCTCTGCACACCTTCTGTTTTAAGCCATGTATCAAAACCACTTAACAGGCTAGAAAAAGCAATCAGGAAAGCAGGTAAAAACTTATTTCTGAAGTAAATTGCATTAGACTTAATCTGTTCAACTGAGTGCTTCTGGCTCTCTTATTTCAGAAACTAATGATGCTAAGAGAGTTTTGCAGGACCTCAACTTGAAAGCAGGCAGTGCTGTCTCTAAATCTGTCCTTAATTACTACACACCATTCAAACAGGTCTGTTAGAATTGCACCTTAGACATTTATTACACCTCAGACATAGGTGTAATGAAAATACTTCCTTTCAGTTCAAATAAACCTTTGTTAAGATGCATGCTTAAGCACATGCTGTGTTCTTGAGGGCATGATGATGTTGATGCCATGAAAAGTCAGCTGCAGAAGGGCAGAGATATCCAGGAGCTTCTTCTGATTCTTCTGAAGATTGTAGGGACGTAACTTATGCAGAAAGCCTATTTTTCTGTCCTGTTTAAAATCCAAGTGTTCATCATTTGGACATGAGGGCAAGGAAGGAATCTGATGTGTGGAATCATGGAGATGCTGGGGCTGCCAGAAGGGAGGGTTTCAGTGGATGGTTTTACTTTTACAAACAGAGTTCTGTACCTTTCTGTGTTCCAATGTGGATGGGAGCATCCTTTGCCCAAGGAGGCTGTGGATGCCCCATCCATCCCTGCAGGCATTCAAGGCCAGGCTGGATGTGGCTCTGGGCAGCCTGGGCTGCTGGTTGGCGACCTGCACACAGCAGGGCTTGGAGCTGGATGAGCACTGAGCTCCTTTGCAACCCAGGCCATTCTATCATTCTGTGATTATATGATCTTTTGTTCTGTCTTAGCTTACCTTGGCTTAAGCAGTTTGCCAGTCCCTGTTTGTTCCCAGTTTCTATGCAGTTCCAGTTCACGTCATGTGGTGCTGCTTCATTTGTAAACCTTTCTTGTGCAATTTCCTGGGGTTTGAGGAACGAGTTCAGGAAACACCCTACAATGTGCCCTGACATCAGGATTCTACTAGCCAAACAAGGACCTCTTGCTAAGAAACCTCTGGCTCATCTCCCTGTGTCATCTTCAGTCTGTTCCATCTAAACGTGAGCACGTTCTTCCCATTCCCCTGCCTCATATCACAGAATCACAGAATCACAGAATTGTAGGGGTTGGAAGGGACCTCCAGAGCTCATCGAGTCCAACCCCCTGCCAAAGCAGGTTCCCTACAGCAGGTCGCACAGGTCGGCATCCAGGCAGGTCTGGAACATCTCCAGAGAAGGAGACTCCACCACCTCCCTGGGCAGCCTGTTCCAGTGCTCCGTCACCTCACTGTAAAGAAGTTCTTGCTCACATTGGTGCAGAACTTCCTATGCTGCAGTTTCCAGCCGTTTCCCCTTGTCCTGTCTCCACTCACCACTGAAAAGAGTCCGGCCTCGCCATTCTGCCCCCCACACCTCAGATACTGATAGACCTGGATCAGGCCCCCTCTCAGTCTCCTTTTCTCAAGGCTGAACAGACGCAGTTCACTCAGCCTTTCCTCATAGCAGAGATGCTCCAGGCCCCTCACCATCTTTGTGGCCCTCCGCTGGACTCTTTCCAAGAGATCCCTGTCTGTTTTGTACTGGGGAGCCCAGAACTGGACGCAGAGCTCCAGATGAGGCCTCACCAGGGCAGAGCAGAGGGGGAGGATCACCTCCCTCGACCTGCTGGCCACGCTCTTTTTAATGCACCCCAGTAAGCCATTGGCCTTTTTGGCCACAAGGGCACACTGCTGGCTCATGGCCAACCTGTCGTCCACCAGGACACCCAGGTCCCTCTCATCCCCCAACCTGTACTGGTGCATGCAATTATTCCTCCCCAGATGCAAGACTCTACACTTGCTTTTGTTAAACCTCATCCCGTTTTTTTTTGCCCAGCTCTCCAGCCTATCCAGGTCTTGCTGAATGGCAGCACAGCCTTCAGGCGTGTCAGCCAATCCTCCCAACTTCGTATCATCAGCAAACTTGCTGAGGTTGTACAGCCATGAGTGAAAGATCTTGAAGTTGTTGGGATGGTACGAAGGTGACCTCATGCTATGAGCCAGCATCCAGTTTCATCAGGATTCAGATAATTTATTGAAATGTGTCTCTGTGCATCCCTCTGCAGTAACCCTACAGCTGTGGCTGAAATGGTTCTCTGAAGAGGTGCTTGTGTCCATGTGTCAGTGCTTGAAGTCCTTTCTTTGCTGCATAACCTTAGAAGAATTCAGCTGAATCAAGTTTTATGGCTAGAATCATAGAATTATAGAATGACACAACGGCCTGGGTTGCAAAGGAGCACAGCGCTCATCCAGCTCCAAGCCCTGCTGTGTGCAGGTCGCCAACCAGCAGCCCAGGCTGCCCAGAGCCACATCCAGCCTGGCCTTGAATGCCTGCAGGGATGGATGGGGCCTCCACAGCCTCCTTGGGCAACCTGTGCCAGTGCCTCACCACCCTCTGCCTCCAAAACTTCCTCCTCACATCCAACCCAAACCTCCCTTGTCTCACTTTAAAACCATTCCCCTTGTTCTGTCACCACCCACCTTCACAAACAGCTGTTCCCCCTCCTATTTATATGCTTCTTTCAAGCACTGAAGGCCACCATGAGGTCTCCCTGCAGCCTTCTCTTCTCCAAGCTCAACAATCCCAGTTCCCTCAACCTTTCCTCACAGCAGAGCTGCTCCAGCCCTCTGATCATCTCAGCGCCCTCCTCTGGACCCGCTGCAAGAGCTCCACCTCCTTCCTGTGCTGAAGTCAGACTAGATTCATGACTTAAAGCTTGCTGGTAGTACCAAAAGTCAGATCTACAGAAAGACACATCAAAGAATTGCTTTTAATGCAGTTATTCCTAATTCTTCCTCCATTTACTCACCCCCGAGGTCTTCTCTGAGAAATTGCCACTGGGAATGCTCTGCTGTGATGTACAGGAGACAACTTGTGTTTGTGCTGCAGTGTATGCCAGTGAGTGACTTCAATGGGGCAGGTCAACAGCAATAAACTTCCTTTTGAAAAAATGGGTAAGGAGGAAGCATCCTTTTAATGCAAGGTCAGATGTGTGGGGTGAGCATTCGGTGCTGAAGAGATGCCTGACTGAGATCATCTCAGATGCCTGAGATGCCTGGGAGCACAGGGATAAAGACAGGTGTTGACCAACGCTGTCCTTGCAGTCTGGGTGGATGGATTTAGAAAAAAAAATAATGGATTTTTATCAATTGGGTCTTTAAAAAGATGGTTTGAATACGAGAAGCTGCAGAGTGAGCACAAGAATGTTGCTGTTCTTGCTGAGCTGTATTTTCTGCTGACATTACTCTGTATGTGAAAAACATCTTTAATGTTTATGTAAACATCTTAAATGCTTAAGTATGTGGCACTGGAGCTAATTCTTCCTTTTTTTTCCTCTCATTTTTTTTCTTTCCAGGGCATCTACAAGTATCTTGAGAGGTGTTTTTCAGACTTTAAGCAGAGAGGCTTTGTTGTTGGATATGACACACGAGGTCAGGTGACCAGCAACTGCAGCAGTAAGAAGTATGAGTATTGATTACATTTGCATAGAAATGAAATTGTGCCTTTGAATGCATTCCCTTCCATCAGAACAGTTTTGTGTTATGAAGTGTGCTCGCTTTGCCCTCCCTTAGCCCATTTAAATAGTAATGAAAAGAAGCAGAGACTGAGCCCTTGTAATGCCAGGAGCCCTGGTTGCTTCACTAGAGAGTTTGTAGTCTAAATGCACGAGAACACCATGCAGACATCAAAAGGTTGATAAGCTCAGAGAGAGGTTTGGAGGTGAAGTTGTAACAGAGCACAGAATCCAGTTGCTTTTCAGAAGGCAGCTGTCTTCTAAGAGTTTTCTATTCCCCCACATCCCACGTCTTCTCACCTTTCCAGCTGACTGTTAGATACATGCAGTGTGTTATCCAGCATGCTTTGGCATGAGGTTTTTAAACATACCTGCTGCTTTGCATGTGCAAGGCTACCAGCCAGGTAGCCTGGATTATGCAGTTTAAAAATGTGAAAGTATGAGGAAAACCATAGAATCATAGAATCATAGAATGGCCCAGGTTGGAAAGGACCTCAAGGATCACGAAGCTCCAACCCCCCACCAATGCAGGGCCACCAACCTCCCCATTTCACAGCAGCCCAGGCTGCCCAGGGCCCCATCCAACCTGGCCTCCAACACCTCCAGGGATGGACGGGGCATCACAGCCTCTCTGGGCAGCTGTTCCAGCACCTCACCACTC